GGTAAATTTGCCCCCTAGCAAGGCACATTTCAAGTTGCCATAAAACATGTAGGTTCAGTTAAAATGACGATTTTGCATATTAATTAAAATCCGAAAGTCAGACTATTAAAATTAAAAATTGTCCAGTATGTATGTCTGCCCAAATTCATACAAAAATAATTACCCATGAAAAACAAATAATATCTAGCAGTTTAACGTTAGATACATTCAAACAAAAATTATTCCACACAAATAAATTTTCTTACATGTAAGAAATGAATTTTGGATTTTTTTTGTAAAATCTTCAATACACAAAAGTCTATTATACCTAGTGTAAAGCTAGCGACCCGGCCCGGGCCCTTACGGGCCCCGGGCCTGGTATTTGCTACCACCATATACCACTGTTGGTACGGTACTGTCAAATTGCATTGCCAAAATATTCATGGAAATTATTTCATTCAATTACCAAGTAATTTGCCTAATAATACATCAATTCTGTTCGACTGAATTGACTAGTTTTCGTAAACATCATGCTAATTCGCACGTTTTCAATTTCGGGATGGAAAAGTGGTGGAAAATTAATCTGGATTATGGATCCCGTTTTAATTTATCATGTTCTGGAATTATTTTGTCAATGGTTTTTCTAATCCAGCGGACAAAATTCCCATCCTCAACACTTTATCCGTTGGAGATTGAGTACGTGCCGTGCTGAGCCAAATGCCCACTAATAAAATGTTTATGAACGAAACGAACCACAACCACGTCAATCAAAATCTCTTAATCTGGACCAATATAATTTTTATTGATGGAGAGAGCGACGTATGAAAGTACCAAATTGCGACACGGTCACAAAGGTCATCTGCATATTCATCAAACGAAACACTAGTGAGTGAGATGTATATAAATAAAATACGTGCACATGTCGATATTATCAAAATTCTGGTATATTTGATTTACACGTACATACGTTCTTAATCTGAGGGGATACGTGCATAAATAATTTCGTTGACAAGTGTACGTTATCATGATGTTGTGATGAGTTAAATTTATCAATTTCTTAAGGTGATGAGCCATTTGAGAGAAGTTGATGAATGGATGATAAGCACGTATCAAAACAACATGACATCAGATGATGAGATATTAATAGTTAACAAAACTTTGACTAGTTTAATGCCGATATTATTATGTTTATTTAAATGGTTTCCTATGAATCATCTTCGAGTAGGTGCAGTTCCGATATTAAATTTTTTTATTTACACGGTTTACTACGAATGATTTAAAAGATTGGTGTTCAAAAGTTAAGGCAGAGTTAAAAAAGTAATAGATTTTGTGCGTTTTTTATGCATATTTATAAATTTGCTTAGCGCACTTTATGTGGATACGATTTTTGTGACGAGTTCAATCAATTTGCACATAATTTTTGCGTAGTCGAATATTATTATGTGCTCATTGTCATTATATATAATTTTCCTACGATCATTTTGAAATTTAACACTATTAGAAATCTGGTATAGTCAGGCAGGTATTGATTTCTCGGTATTAAAGTTGCTACTGCTTGGTATTAAAATTACCTATATACCAGTCCGTAAAAAAACTGCTACGGATGTAGTAAAACTTTTTAATACCGAGCTATTACTACACGGTATTACTGATCAATACCACGTTAGTGGTCATATATGAATATGCAAATATCATAAAATATTTTATGATAATATTTTTTTTGGTTCTGAAAACAATTGTTTACAATGTGAAAATTAGCATATGAAAAACCGAGAAGAATAAATATTTCAAAATATATCCTCTTGAGTTCAAATCAATATGAAAAATATTTTATAATGATACCAATGAGTTATAAATTATAGCTAACCTATCATCCTATCTGTTATAAACAGTTGTTGCAATTTTGTTTTTGCAAAATATTTTCATCGACGCAAAACATGTGCAATAAATATTGCAAAGGTAAACAAAATTGCACATAAAATTAAAACTACTTCGCAATGATTCGAGTTGAATTGATTATCCAAATTACTTTTCGCCACGAGGCAATAAATTTTAAGTTGTGCTTTATGCGAGGCTTGAGATGATGAATGGTGTCGCAATGTCTAAATTTGTCCAGAATAATAAACCAAGAAATCACTGTCAAAAGTGTATGTTATCATGTTGTCATTTCACTTCACTTATATTTGATAAGGTATAAATGGATGATAAGCCCAACGCACGTTTTAAGACAAAAATATGAAGACAGTTATTAATTCATAAGTTGAAATACGCCCCAAAATTTTATCTCATGAGGTTGCAAAATATTTGTTTTTGCTAATCTCAAAAATTTGCAAAATAATTTCAAGTGAAAGTTAAATGCCGGTGATAATTTTTGGTGAAATAATTATGACGTCTCGTATAACAGATTTTGATTTTTTCTTTTACAAGTATCAGCAAAAAGACAAAATTTTGAACAGCTTGTAATTTATGTACCGTGCCGTAATCCCAAAAATTTGCAAAAAATTGAAGTAAGCTTAACTGCTGGTATAATTTTATGGTAAAATAATTATGACGGTATGTGATATTTTTTACTACAATAGAAGACAAAGTGACTAAATTTTGAACAACTCGTAATTTTTTAACGTGCTCTCTGTTACAAAATCGTCTTCCTTGACTGAACGTAATGTTACTTTTATACACACATTTTGAAACATCATGAATGAACCATTCCAAGTCGAACGACTACAAATTCATGAAATCTGCACATCTCGTTCCATTCATTTTATTCATGGTTGCAAAACTCGGTTCTTAATGGGTTGCTGTATATTTTCGTATCCTCAAAGAACGCCCAAAAAATTACATGTTTAGTCAGTTAAACGATGATGATGATACACACGTCCTGGTCGTGTTTGTTTGTTTTCTTGTTAACGAGGCAGTCAAGGCCAAATCAGTTCATAATAATGTTGAGCTGCCTAAATACGAGATTTTTTTAAAAAGTAGACAGACATTAATTTGGGGAGGAAGTAAGACCCACTTTTTTGGGCAGAGGTGACGAAGTTGCGATAAGAATAGAACAGAATAATTATGTACAGAAGAAGAGAAAATTTACCGTTTTGGTTAGAATTTAAATATGCATAAGAAGATGCAACTGCACTCAAGGGGTTCGAACTGGATTATCCGGATGCGATTTTGAGGTCAGGACGAGATAGGGTTTCGTTCTGCAGGAAAGTAGCATTAATTCATTTAAAATGGGAATGTGTAAACATTTCAAACGTTTATTTATGCAATTTTTTTACGTAATATGTTTATCAGCTATAAAGGGTTTTTAAAGTTGAAAGTTACGGAATTTCGGGACTCGGGTATTTAGAAAAGCGAGACACCAAGCAAGAATGTTAAAGAATGTTAAAGTAAGTAATGTACGAATGCATTTTGCAAAAAATACAAAAAGTGGACAAAAGAGTACAATATATACAATTGCAAAGAGTACAATTTTACAATTTCATCTGCACTTCTGTAGTGAATACTAATTGATTAATATACCATCCCCATCTTGCAAACCAATTTTGTCGAAAGACATTCCACCTAGATTTTAAAAACGGATATAATTTACTGAAAAATATTTTCAACGACACTAAACTTGTACAAATTAAGATTCACTAATACTAATATTAAGATGCACTAATCATAACTCTGAGTTCAACTAAAGACAAAAACAAAATTGACCTTATGCAAAATATTTACACTAACGCAAGCTTATGCAATATTGCAAACAAGATTGCGCTTAAAACTGAAACCATCTCGTAAATACTTCGCAATAATTCGAGTTGAATTGATTATCCAAATTTCTTCTCGCCACGAGGCAGTAAAGATTAAGTTCTGGTTTATGCAAGATTTACGATGAGTGATGTCTAAATTTGTCCAGAACATGGATTCAGCATGAGACACGTTATTTGGCAAACATAGTTCGTTTGTAGAAGCAGTTGACATTTTATGTACAATTTAATCATTCACATTTTTAACATGGAAAAATATGTAAATCAACTGATTATGCATGTGTCACTACATAAACAAATGCTGGAACGCTTCTAAATATTCGCAAAATGTTTTCGCCTCTGTGAATCATGTCGTAATGACTTTGCTATTTGTTTGTCATTCTAGAATAATTCAGTATTTATTCATGGACACACATTTGCAAGACTGGAACGATATTTTAGCCCTCGTTGGTCCCCTATTATCTCGTGATTCGCTTCAATTCAGACTAATTGAGGACTTGTATTCGGCTGTGGATCGAGGCTGCTGAAACTGAACTGTGAACATTTTTCAGATCAAACTGGATGAAACTGGGCATCCATAGTTTCGATTAATAACGATGACTTGGTAAAAGCTAGTGGCCCTTTTGTGCGTCGATTAAGTTCATAAAAATCAGTAAAAATATAAAAAAAAGTATGAATTACAATACATAAAAGAGGTTAAATTTAACTTTAATTTCGGTAAATTTATTTTGCACTAATTTATTCAGAGATAGTTCACAAAATGCAGTTTTGTCCTGTTTTTAAGCATTCTTCGTCTCGGCCTGAGCGAATGGACGGTTGTTCATTTATCTGATTTAGTCATGCTTGCCTTTATATTTTAAAATTTAAATGTGTAGCTGCACTTTGTTGGCACATCGTTTGTTCTTCGCTGTTCTTAGAACTATTACAGCTTTTTGACATGTAAAACATCGCTTATCTCCAAGTTTAGCTCAGACTCGGACTGATTAGCACTTTCCCTCATAATTCTGCACTTACTTATTATTCCTCGAGATGAAGAATCATGGGGGAGTCATGTCCTTTCGATGGTGATGATTTGCAGGATGGTCAGAGATCAGGCTGCTTCGAGCTACTGTTACAATTCTAATTGTTCTGCATAATAATAAGGGCGAAGACCAAAATAAAGCACGAACAAACTGAATGCGAAATTAGTTGCTAAATGGAATTTGCAATAACTCCTCAGTTCAGTGCAATGGTGGGGAGGAGATGATCCGTATTTAAGCGAGGACGGGACGCGAGCAGAGTTCAGTCTGACTTTGACGCTCGATCAGCAAACTTGAAGCTACAATAAAGCATAAAAACCTTACTGCAAATAAAAGTGCGAAATCTGCTTGCAAATAATAATCCAAAGTAAAATAAAAGTTGTGCTAAAAACAGAAAATAGAATGGAAACTGTGCTTCCCATCGTGATTCCGGAGCAAGTGTCCCCACCACGGGGGAGAAAACAGGCCGTGACGAAATCCCCCTCATTCCTCACTACCACCTTCGCAGGTCACACCATGTTCGGTGGAAGTTCGGCCGAACTTATCTCGAATGGGATCAGGAGTAACAGAACGTGCACTATTCAGATCTGTGAGTGGTTTATTTGAGAAAAGTGTAGACTTTTGCAGTATACACATTTTGCGAATTGTTTTACTGAAGATTTTTTCTTTATTTTTTCAGCAAATCATTTAAGCGTTCCGTTAACACTTCCGCATTTCCACTGCTTCGATGGAGGTTTGTACTACCCACTCCCCGCAGTTATCCAACCCGGTACGAGGGAGGCGTGCGTTTTCTCCAAAAATCCGTGAGTGCAAACTTTTGCTTGGAAATATATTCCAATATTTCCGAAAAATTTCTTACTCATCTTTTTTACAATCGTATCCACAGATCCTCTCCCCACGGCGTTATTGGCGTGCTGACCTACCAAATCGGTGACTCTCCGAGGCGCGTCGCGGTCATGTTTTCCGTCGCGTACAACCAACTACAATACCGAAACCACTTCGGAACCGCGATCGTGACGGGTTTCGACTTGGAGAACTCGGCCCTTTTCACCCACTCGGAGGACGAAGAGGAGGACGAGGTCACGCTCCTGTTCGACAGGATGTACCAGGACGCCGACTTTTACCAGCGGGGAGGTCGAGCCCACAGTTTAGCGAATGATGGCGTCCCCATGTGGACGACGGATGGGGCTTATCAAATCCGAGGGACGATGAGCGACAGGGGCAAAGCCATTGTCAAGCTCAACATTTCCACAGCTTAAAAAGGAAAGTGGAACGGAAGATGACAAACCACTTGATATTGTGTATTTTGACCCTGGCCTGGCAAATAAGACGTGATCTGGCACATATCCCACCGGAAATGGTAGCAGATCGACTAGGTGTAGAACGCCCGGGTCGATCGCAGTGATACGTATCGATTGTGACTCGAGCAATGAGAACGAAAACGAACTTAAAGTTTGGCAAGAATTGTGGACAAAGTTTGTAAAGTTGTCGAGTTTTTAAAAAATATATATCGGCAATCTACTAGAATTTACTTATTATTCATCAGAACAGATAAGTAATTTATTTCAGACTTAATTAATACTAGAAAAATGTTTGTGTAATGGATAAGATTTTCGTACTCTAATAAATAAAATATTTATATATGTACATGTAATTCTGAAATTATTATTGAATAGGTAATAGTTTTGTAAATTTATTCGTAGACTGATTTGAGGTTATTTATGTGAAGAAATTAAATAAATTGGGGGGACACGCCTTCATTTGTTTAACTGTAATTGGTCTTGTTCTTGTTACAATTAAATGGTTTAATTGCATCGAGTTATTTACGCTAATTATGGACGAGCCATTAACATGCTGCTTTCATATCGTCATAAAATTCGACACTGGCAATGTAATTGGCTCAATTTCTTTAAGTACGAAATTGCGTAATCTTACAACAATTCCTATTTAGAAATTATTTAGTCTGGCTTTATTTATGCAATACATAATGATGTGACGTATGTACACTTGTAGAAAAGTATATTCTGATCTTGTGGTTGTCTAATTCTTTTAAATGGTAAAAAGAGGATAAAACATCAAAAATACTTTACAAGATTCTAAATTACTCTTTAGAACAATTAATTAAATCGATACCACGAAAACAAAACCACCGCCTAGTATATATGTACATTAACACTTGAACACACCTGCTTAAAATTTTAGGAAAAATACGTGAGACAAATTTCATTTAAGGTATTAAAGTTTTACAAAACAAAAATTTACAAAAACTTTACCAACAATTTACAAAAGAATATTTACGTAAAGTCTAAAATTTTTGTCGTAACACAAATAAAAACGCGACTACCTCATTATATTCCGACACCACAGATCAAAAATTGTCTCTGGTCAATAATCGTCGTCATAAAAAATAATACAAATTAACCTTCCCGATTATCCGTCAAAATCTTTAATGAGATGATTCGACGAAGTATTTGGCTATATAATTAGTGGTCAAGATCAGAGTCCAATTTGAAGATTTATTCTTCCTCCCACTCGGCCAGACCAGACTGAAAGGAGATATGTGGCTGTCAATGAAGGACGGAATTGCATATTGAGCAGAAACAGCGTCATCAATTTCCTAACGAGTTTCGTACTTGTGTGATTAGCTTATTTTAAAATTGTTACACAAGACGAGCCAATAATTACCGTGGTGGTGTTCTCTGGTCGTGCTAATAACTGGCCGAGGAATGGTACCAATTACGGCAGAAATAATTATTTTAACTTCATTTGCAATTTAAACGTGGACAAGAGGTGGAAGATTTTTCTGTCCGGTAATACTAAAGTATTTTTAGTAACAGCCAATTTAATAATTTAATGAAAGCTTAATATATTTTCATGTCTAAATTTTTAAATTGGGAACATAAATTTGAAAAGTGAGATTCTGTTAATTTTGAGTAAATAATTTTCGGCATACAATAGCCATGTAGTTTTCGGCATTAAATTCTACGGGTTGAGGTAATCGGTACTTTGTCCACTACGCTTAACACTTTAATCCTTTATCATAATCACTGGAATTAACTACAATTTTTACGCCCTGCAAACTATAAATCTATGAAATTATTATTAACAATATTATTATTCACTAAAAATTAATACTGGTACTTGACTTACACAAAATTTTGTGTAGTGTAAATTCGCATTTCGTTAATGCGAGTGTGTTGAGTTAAATAATCTTGATTTTTGATCATGGAAACTATAATAAGAGTTTTATAACCTTGAATTTTTTGAACCGTAAGAGCTTAACTGATTGGAATTTAAATTCGTGTGCGTCATAGCTCCGAGAGAACTTTGGTCTGCCATCGTCCCCCCAAAATAGAAATAATTGGTTATGTTGAGGAATTATGATCCGCAATTAAATAATTATTTGGAGGATGGGCTTCCCTGCTAATTGAACCGTTTTTCGAAATGTTAATCTCACCAAGAACAAGGAATTAGAGGAGAAATTGTACTGCACAAAAGTTCTGGGATTAATTAGAGGGTAGCAATTAAGGCGTGTACTTTAATTGGTCACTTTTTAAATGTTCATGTGACTGCGTCGTGCGCAGATTTCGAGTCGTTGGAAAATATTGTTAAAATTCTTCAAAATTTTAGAAAGATTTTCTACGAATTTAGAAAAAAATGCATTATGCACATTTCGAGTGAATGGACACGTTCAATAGTGATGTATGCGAATAGAAATTAAATATTGTTCAAAATTTTGCAAAGATTTGTAAAATTTCTTACTTACACTTGATCCAACAAAAAATCTAGTTGCTTTTTCTCCACTCAAACTCAAACGAAATTTGTTTTTGGCGTAAAGACATTACAAAATTGCATAGCATACATTTCCCGTTTGGACGAGAGTTCGAAAACCATTTTCATGAAAATAATGTTGCCCTAATTTCATACGCATGACACACAAACGGGAAGTAAAATCATTATAATTCTTCTGGTGAAAAATAATGCTTCTTGTGAACTTGGTGGTGTGTAGAATTGTAAATTTACCGTGGGTTCGATTTTTTTTTACTTTATTCCCGGGAAACAGGGAGAAGAAAATCCCGGAAAATTCCAACGGGCTGTAAAAAACGGAACCTGAAACTGCTCGAAAATTCTCGGAAACTTTAAAAATTTCCAAAAAAGTTCAAAAATTTCCACTGCTTTCCCGACAAAACGCGTTTGCACTTTTGCACAACAAATCGAACCCACGAAATTTACTAGAAATCATTAAAAATCTCACGTAGAAAGTGTGCTTATAAATATTTCTATTTCTTTACATATTTCTCAAATATGAAGTACTGTGTATTACCATGTATTTTACAGACATTGTTACTCTGTACAGAAATAAGTGTATTTTATGTGCAAAAACAAATAAATAGATTAGCTATATCTTATCTAAAAAAAAATGAAGTACTGTTATTAATGTCAGTTATATCCAGAAGTACGAGGAAAACTCGCATCTCGACTGGATTTTTCAGCTCTTGTAGAAGATAAAGCTTGCGCTGCAACTCGGGTCAAACACACTGGCGTAGGGGACATCGGCTCGGCTTGACTGCAAGTATTCCAGGTTCAAACCGCAGCACGGTACAGATAAATTTACTTTTTGCAACCTAGTTTTGACCACAATGTTATACCGTTGTATAGGGGGTAAAGTTCTACTAGCAACATAGCCGGACCACCCCCGGGAAGATATTGGGGAGTGGTCAATATCATCATTTTTTCATACTGACCACACCCCCACACGCTGTCGGTGCGGTTTGAATATCCTACTAGTAGAACTTGACCTCTTATGGCAAAGTTAAAAGCATTTTAGTCAAAACTGGCTTGCAAAAATGTAAACTAGCCTCTACTGAGATTTGAACCCGCGTGCTTATGCTACAGACTGAGCCGATGTCCCTTATGCCAGCAATTTGACTCGGGTTGCAGCGCTAGCTTTATCTTCTACAAGAGCTGAAAAATCCAGTCGAGATGCGAGTTTCCCTCCTACTTCTGGATATAACTGACATTACACCTTGAACGAACATCTGTAAATTATTACGAAGTTAAAATAACTTTCATCATAATTTATTTCAGGCGCCGAATTGTTACGATAAAAAATTACGCATAAAATATTTTTTATTGGATTTGCATTCTGCTTCATAAGTGTAAATGACTTGATGATGAAGATTACGTGATAAGTAAGTTCGGGTTTTGGAATATTTAGCAGTCATAGGCCAAGAGTCCTATCAAATTATTATCATTATGTCAAAATTATTACATTACATTAATGAAACCAACTATTCAAAAATTACGAAGGAATTTAAAATCATTTGCATTTATTTTGGCGAAAAGTTCGCTACGCTTTATGTTGAACTTGGTGCATCTACATAACCAGACTAGCAGAATTTCAGAAATTACTCTATATAACTCATTAACAGTTTCATTTCATGACTCAAATTTATCGATGCTTCCCATTGATACATTTCTATTTCCATATGTGGTTTATCCGGACAATTAGGAAGGTACTAAAAATAGAGCTGCATAATAGCCCTTTGCAATCAGAAGGGCATTCATGGGTGAACAAAGAGCATACAAGTTCTGACGTTCCTTATGTAATGGCATGTTTCGTGATTTGATATCCAACAAATGGACGAGAACGAGGTATCACAACAGATCAAAATATTGCACCACACAGGTTTATTGGGTGAGAACCGAGATGAAATGAAATTAAGTTCAGTTGGCAAACCCAACGTGCATGTAAAAATACTAACAAAAAGTGAAATGCAATTCGGTAAACCCAAAAGGAATCAAATATCGACACAACCTGCGTCATCATTTGCATAACAATGGTCTGAACAATCCAACAACAACTGGTGTGCTCAGAATGGTCGTAAATTCTGCTCAAATTGCAGTGTTAAAATCCTCATGAAAACGATTTTATTATTTTCAATGAGTAATTTGCCTTCTGTAAGAATAATAATACTTCAATCTGATGAAATTAAATTACTAACTTTCGTAAACAAGATGATAATTCGCTTGATAATTTCGGGATGGAAAAGTGGTTGAAGACCAATAATCTGTCATGGATCTGGATTAGTGAATTGATACCGTTTTAATTCAGCATGTTCTGGAATTTTCTAATGTAAAGTACAAAATTAGCTTCTTCTATCCACTAAACGCACCACTTTATTTGTTGGAGATCCAGTACGTGCCCATTAATAAAATGCTCACAAACGAGATACGAATCTCTTAATCTGGACCAGCAAATATAAGTTTTATTGATGGAGAACGACATAAAATAATACATTTCTATGTGCATGGGTTGGATTGGAGATAGAAATGTGCATATTTACTGTTCGAGTAAGAGAGTATTGCTAATCCTCAGTTAATAATTTTGTGAATTCTGAATGTGTGAACCAAGATGAAACAGTATCATTTGCAAAAAATTGTTGTATTAAAATCTATAATTGCTACTTTCTCCAAGGCATATATAACGGTTTATATTCATTATTCTAATCCATTAAAACAATGTTCTTTTGGTACGAACGGCAGCATTTCCCACTGCAAATAAGGCTTTCATCAATAGTAGAAATCTAACAATTAATACAGGGGTGGGACAGAAGAAGGAGCCACTTGAATTTTAGGGGTGGCGTGTGATGCACAGTCGCGGCATTTTCAAAATTTGCATATGTCATACCCAGATAGTTAACGAAAATTTAGCACTATTCAGATTTTCCCTACGGTTAAAAATGCCCCTGCAGCACCCCCCAGAGTGCGAGGC